CCCCTCAGCCAGAGCTGCAGCCTTAGTCCTAAGACAAGGGCCTACCATTCAGTTTGGAGGGTCAGGTAGGATGTCTGTGCTTTTCCTGGTCTTTAGTTCCTCCCTCCTTCTCAGAGGAACCCTGTCTGCTCTCGCTCTGCTCCTACGGCTGCCTTGGGAGGCTTCTGGACCCGGCAGAACTTCAGTCCCACCCGCCCCGCCCCCTCTGCTGCTGCTGCGTGTTGCGGCTGGTGGCCCTGCGCTGCCTGCTCACTGTGGGTGGAGGGTAGCTCTGGATAAAAATTGAAGGACGGGGGAGTGGGGGCTGGGGTGGTCACCGTTGCCCCTGCAACTCCCATGCCACGTCAGCCTCTTGCGGGAGAGCTGGCGGCGGGATTCGGGTTACTACGCTGTCTTGGGCTTTTCCTGTCGAAGGAATCTCACAAAAATCCCCCTGTGCCTCGATCAGTCGGTCTGGGCCGGCTCCGAAGCAGCTCATCCCAGTGACTGAGTGTACAGACCCTCTTAATTTCCCCCTTTTTTAAAATGATGTAGTTTGGGGTCTGCTGTTCCACCCCCAGTGCTATCTGCCTGCCCCCCTGCCCCTGCCTTCTAATAGGGAACTTGACCTGAAGAAACAGTCTGTCCAGACACCGCTGACCCAGCCCCACCTCATCTGATCTGGAAGCTGGGATGGGGGGGTCTCTGGGAAGTGCCAGGGGCCCATAGGTGTGGATGAGGTGGATGGAGAAATCTCTGCTCTGGTTCTGCGGTGGGCAGCAGTGTGGAGTGCAGCTGGTGGCCTGGTACTGGTGGTGTCTGCTGGGGGTGGGAGCTGGGGCCAGAACTGCTCAATGTCTTCGTTTGATGACAAAAGGGCAGAGTGCACGCTCGGTGGTTTGCTGATGATGCACAATGAAGGGGAGTGGCTGATGCACCGGATGGGGTCAGAGGGGCTGTGCCAGGCTGGAGAAACGAGCTGTGAGAGTGAGAGTGGTCAGACACTGGCACAGGTTGCTCAGAGGGTCTGTGGTGCCTCCATCCTGGACATACTCAAAACCTGACTGGGCAGGAGTTGGAACAACCTGCTCTAGGGGACCCTGCTGTGAGCAGAGGGGGGGAGGGGATTAGATGATCCCCCCCTCCCCATTACTCCCAACCTCATCTGTTTTGTGAAAGACAATATTTTGGGACCTGAAAGCTTCCTCGGAATATCTTCCAGGTCCTTCTGTTAAACAGAAAGGAGCTCATCTAGTTTTGAAAACAAGATAAAGAGAAGTTGTGTTCTATAAAAGTCCCTTTACAATGCTTTGGTATAGGCTCTGAAGTCTTATTAAATACATTTCTTTATGTAACACAGCTTTGCTTTTTTTGCAGCATTGCTGCCCTTTTGTCTGAGCTCTTCTGTGTTAGAAATATTTTGAAAAGATGTTTTTTTGAAAAAATGTGAGAGACATGCAACCTGCTATAATATTGCTGGTTTTCATAAATGACTGCAAAGCATTTGCATATCTGCAGTCACCTTTTCTCTACCATGACCCAGAACATTTGTGTAAAAGAAAAAAAAAAAAGCAATTCTCTTCCTGCTGTGATGTCCCAGGGACAAATGTTTTTTCTTCTGCCTCCTGTATAATCTAAATTTTGCAGTTTTATCACTAGCGATGTGAGACTGAAAGCCAGTAGTTGTTTTTTTCCCCCTTTTGTTCCACCATCCACAACTACAAAGGGGATGGATTTCTTATAAAATACAGAAGGACATGGGACACATGAATTGAGTGAAGCTAAAATGGGAATTAGTTAAAAAAAAAAGAATTGATGTGGAGCACCTTCACCGAAGTTTTACAAAATACTTCTTTTCTGCCTACAAAAATGTTTTGATGACAGAAGGAAGTTTTAATCCGCATGGGGCAGCCACCTCCAGTGCCGCCGTCACCTCTCTATCAGCAGGTGTATTGCATGAAGCTACCAAAGATCCATCCCTCAAAACATCAAATGCAGGACGTCACCACTGCTTTTGGCAGACTAGTTTGGGAACATGAAGGAGGAAGAAAATGTTTGTTCGCTCGGATAGATTTATGCCCTTGATGACCTCCTTAGCTCTGGTATGTAGCCATTGACCGAAGCACTGAAGTGGAAGGGGCATCTGATTTTGGGAAACAGAAAGGGGTGTCTTGTCCATGTGATGCCCATCTTCCTACGGAATCAGTTCTTGGGAACGTTACATCTTTTCCGTCAGAAGAAGCAGGCTTAATAATATCTCCATATGTCTGCAGTTGCTTTCTCAGGTACATTGCCTGCCTACAGCTATTTTTTTCCCCCCTCAAAGTTTTTTTGTGTGATTCATAATCTTTCAAAATGTACGTAGAATTTAATATATGTCAGTTGTTAACTTCCCAAGGTGGGATTAAACCAGGTTTAGCTCTGGTTTAATTTCTGCTTTGTTTCACGTGCACGTCTAGAGCTTTGTGAGCAGAGATGCCCACTTGCATTCAACAGGTGCATTTTTTGAACTGGATTTTAGGTGGACAATACACATCATAAATGCAGCAAAGAATACAGTCACATAAGGATTAACTCATGGCAAGGGGCGGCTCCACTGTATGTTACAAGAGTGCTAAATGAACATTTCAGATTTATACCAACCTATTTACCTACCTTTGGTAACGTAGAGATAGAAGAAATCACAGTAGAAGATTGTTTGTACCACCCCGGAAACTACAGCTATCTGGTCATAGAAATTCTCCGTGTAGTAGCGCCAGACCCAGTTGGCAATGTAGAGAGCGCGGTAGAGGCCCAGGAAGAAAAGGTAATGCGTTGTGATGGTTTCTGCTTCCCCTGTCTTGCTGATCATGAAGAGCTGAGGAAGGATAGCCACGGACTCCAGGTAGATGGAGAAGGTCCAGAGTATCTGTGAGATGCAAAATGAAGGCAGTGGAGAGCCTTGGTGCTGGTTAATACACATTGAGAGCCAAAGCTTTAATTTGGCAGAGCACTGATGTGTGAGTTGGATGAGCAGTGCTGCTGGGGTAGGGGAAAACGAGCCTGCTGTGCTGGGACTGAGAAGAGACAGCACTGAGCTGCTCTATAGACGGTACAGTCTTCAAGGCCTGCCAACCTTGCCTTTCCTGCCTGCTTTTGCTGTTAAAAATCTCAGCTATTCAGTATGCTGCTTGCTCTGCTGCATGGTGTCAGGCTGCTGCTTCCCCTCCCCTTTCCTACCTCAGGTTTTTCTTACCTCCAAGGGGGTGAAGCTGTAGTTCTCCAGAAATGACAGGCCTGTGACAGGGACCAGCAGGAACTCAAGGCGAAAGGAGTCGTTCTCACTGTCGAATGTCTTCTGGAATTTCATGTAGATCATATACACGGTGATGTAAGCACATATCAAAAAAATTACCTGGGGGAGAGAAGGGAGATGCCAAGACCTTTCCTGCAATTACACTTTCCGTACTTGAAAGGACAGCTTTGCCAAAGTCAAGATCTTTTAACCTGGCTCTGGTGGGGCTGTGCCAGGCCAAGATAGTGGTGAATGCTTTCTCTGCACTGGCTTGTGGATTGACATCTGCTGGAGGTACTCCAGTGGTCAACTAAAGATTGCCCCACCATGAGGATCACTCTTGCTTGAGCCCTCAAGGGCCCTGTGTGAAGAAGTTGGCTTGATGGCAGCCCTCTGTTAATGCTCCTGCTGTGCAAGGACACCCAGGCTCAATTCATGTGTCTCGTTCTGTTTTCGGTGGCACTAAATGGGGCAGGCTCAGCTCACTTGCTGACTGTGGTGAGGGTTTTTTTTGGTTAATGGAGGGCCAGTGACACCAAAGGAAGCATCTTTATCCACTCCTGCTGTGTATAACCCCCTGTAGCATTGGTGACAAGTGAAGAAGATGGAACTGCTCCTTCTTCCCTCTGACTGAAATCTTACTGAACCCGTACCCTTGCTTCCCCACGAAACTCTCGTGAGTGAGGGGAACCTCTGCTTCTGCACTGCCCTCTCCTTACCTTCATCACAGTGTTATAGACAGAGATGAAGGTGGTGAACAGGTCCAGATAGCGGGTTGTGAAGACAAGGGCGAAAAGAATCTGACTCTTCCCAGAGATACCTGTGTGTCAGGGAGAAGAAAGGAGGGTAAGGCAGGTGAGAGAAAGGACCCTTAAGATGGTGTTTTCCCCTTACACCTTCTTTGGAAGCGGTTGTATACATGCATGTTGCTTTGTGAGCTTGGCCTGGCATGTAGGTGCTCTGGTAGACCTACCCAGGACTGTCTGGAGCCTCCTGAGTGATAGGACAGACTCCTGCTGATGCTCCTGAGCCCAGCCTTGAGTTGTAGGGACCGGTGCTTGATGGGCATGTTCACTTCTTTGGCCAATTCAGTCCTTACTGTCATCAAAACACCTTTTGCTTCCCTCCCTCACTCCCTTCACCTTCCCAGGGGGGTTGAGTAATGTGACCTCGGCTGCACCAGAGAAGAGCTGCAGGACTAGGGACCAACCCCAGGGACGCTGATGGGGGAGAGGCAGACAGACCCACCCATTTCTCTACCTCTGATAATGGCTGCTGTGCTGCAGCCCAGCCCCGAAGTCCCTTGAACTCTGAGCAAAATCCTCCTGTGGGAAGCTGCTGCCCTGATTTCCTCACCCAGGGTTGGGGCAGCCTCTGGCAGGACCTCGAGGTCCTCATGGCAGGGCCTCTGACCTAATGCAGCTTTCTCTCGCAGTTGTCAGGTTTGGTGCCACCACAACGTTTTGCACTCCTTTTTCACATCCCTCCAGCCTTGCTGCCCTCCCCTTCGCTTCACCACCCGGACACCAATACCTTCCTGAGTCCGTGCGCGTTGCCACATCACATCCTTCCAACACAGCCCTCTCCTCCCAGCAGGGAGACTTCCCAGAGGAGGATGACTTCCCTCAAAGAGCCCACTGCAGAGGGCTGCTGGATTGCATGGGCTATTGCTAGCCTTTATGGCACCCATTTCACACACACCCCTCCCTGAGCTGCCCTCCAAGAAGGTCCCCACCTCCTTCCTCAGGGCATGGGAGCACTCACCGGCACAGGACTTGGACTTGTAAAAAGCAGTAGGATGATGATGGCCAGCAAGTGGGAGACATCCCCCAGGATGCGGAAGGCATTCATGGTGCTGGGGAGGCTCCTCCGGGGTGCAGGGAGTGGAGCGCTTTCTGCAGGCAGGGAGGGTGAAGGCAGGTAGGTTTTCCCTCCCTCTGAGCCTCAACCAAGCAAACGCTCTCCTCCAGCTCAGCTTTCCCTTTTTCCCCAGTACAAAGCCCTCTCTTTTGGCAGAGAAAAGTTCAGGCTCCCCTCTCCTCTGGTCACAAGGACCTTTCCCCTGCCCAGCGCTTGAGCTGGATCACCTCCCTTGCTTACTTTTCCCCCAAGGTGGGTTTTCTCTCTACCCCCACCCCGGGGCCTTCCTCTCCCTGCTCCAGGCCAAAAGTTGGGGTCTGTCCCGTGGAGAGCCCCAGGCTGAGCCTGCTGAGCAGCCCTGAAGGCAGCACTGGGTGACGGTGACGTGGCTCCTGGCTGGCCGGGGAGGAGAGAGAGGAGGAGGTGGAGGCGGGAGTAACTGCACTATTTTTCCCTCTTTCTTTTTTTTCCCTTCCTCTTTTTTTCTTCCTCAACTTGGTCTCAAGTTACACACGGAAGTGTCGTTAAAGGGGAAAAGGCAGAGAGAAAGGGATCCCCATCCTCTGGCCTTGGGGACGCAGGGCACAGAGCTTTCCAGGGACATTCCCTGTGGGTGCATAAACCTCTGTCCTGCTCTGAGAGAGCAGCCTCCTGCCCTCTGCCCTTCCCAGTTCCACCCCGCCTCCAGCACTTTCTCCCTGGTGCTCCACCTTGTCTCCTGAGAAATGAAGAAGCAAGGAAGGATCTAAATTATACAGCTGCTGCAGCTGTATGTCGTGTCCCACCGTGATCCCCTCCCTCCCGTGGCAGGTCACGCACAGCCGTTCCCCGGTGGCCCCCCAGCAGCCCTCCCACCTTTGGGTGTCCTCTCTGTAGCAATGTGGATTCGAGAGGGAAAAAAAAAAAAAGATCCTCCTGAGGGCTGGTTTGAAAGGAACTTCGATTAAAATATTAACCCTGGATTCCTGCAAGTGGATTACAAACAACGTAACATGCATGTTGTGTGAAAGGAGCACACAGGTACCACCATTTTTATAGGGTTTAGCAGAAGTGGGCTTAGAAGTGATGGTTATAAAGTTTTAATATATTCAGAAACAGCTCTGGGTTTCCAGCCAGGTTGGGATAAATCTTGTCCTTGCAGCTATGGTTACACAGGGAGGTCTCATGGAAGTGGTGAGGGGACCTCTGCATCAAGATGGGGCCATTAGATATTCATTATCTAATCACTAATATAAAGCTGCTTTAATACAACCAAATGGGTGTCTTAATTTGTCACCTCGTCCCCAGGCAAATAGCATTTGTCTGTGGGTCTAATTTGGTTACTCAAGTGTTGGCCCTGGGGCCAACTCTGGCTGCTGCCCTCCCTCTCCCCAGCCCTTACCCATCTCCTCCACATCTCCCTCCATTGGCACATTCTTATGGGCTCACTTGGAGTAAAAGCCTTAATGATTAAAGTGTAAAAATATTATTCCCAGTGCTTACTGAGAGGACTAACAAGTCTGTTAGCATCACTGGATTCCTTTCTGCATACATTTGCATACATTTCCTCCCTGGCCATTAGGCTGGCTGCTGTGTTTTCCCTCTCTGCTGCTCCAGCACCTCCTGCATCGGGCTTTTCCAGCCACGTTCCCAGGCTGGGCTGGAAAACACCTGCTCAGCCCCACAAAACCGGGGAGAGCCCTGCCTGCCCCTGCCAGGGCATCAAGACAGAGTCTAGTGTGGTGGGAGAAGAGCAGGTTGGACCAAAGGAGAGCGTTGGCAAAGGAGCGACAGGGCAGGGACTGGCCGTGTATAAATCAGGCTGCAGTCGGGTTTCCAGCCATCAGAGCAGGGCTGCCTGGGGTTTCAGTAGGGCTCTGCAGGGCCATGCAGGTTCTAGCGAAAGCCAAGCCCCAGCCCCGGTGGCCCAGCAGGTCCCTGACTTCCCAAGTCCTTTTGCAGGTGGACAGAGAGAGGTTCAAGGCATGGAGTGGGGATGGGAGGTTTTGGAGAAATAGATTTAGGGTCCTCTGTGCCAACAGATCCCCTTCCAGGCCCCTGGATCTCAATGTCTGAGAGCCCTTGTCATCCTCCAGTCCCTCCACTCTGCTTCACAGCTTCTTGTCCAACCCAGGGGATGAAGCCTCCTGTGGAGGGGTAAGGCTGCTGTCGGTGGCAAAGATTTATTCTCTTCATCTTGCGCCTTCACAAGAAGAGCTCATCAGCCCCAAGCCACAGTGTTACCTCCTGCTGTGAGCTGACCATCAGAGGGAACTTCACAGGAACAGCCCGACACAGTGGTGGGGCTGGGGTCTCCCCGTGGGACATCCCAGTGTGGCACACTGGAGGGCTGTGGGAAGGCTGCCAGGAGGGCAAGGGGCACCCAGATGCTTGGAGGAGGAAAAACTGTCATGTGAAGTGGGAGCAAGTAAAAATAAACCTTCCCTCCTTGCCACAACATGAAGTGCCTTGCACTGGGTGTCTCTTTGCCTCCAGGTGCTGCCACCACCCCTCACAGTGATGCTCTCTCCCTGCCTCCTGTTTCCATGGTGACAGCAAGGAATGTCGCCAGGGTGACAGGGAGGCGAGCGAGCTGGGATTTGGCATTAAAAACAGGAATTTGGGGTTGTTTGGTTTCTTCTTTTATTTTTTCCCTTTTATTTCTATTTTTGGGTTTCCCTCTCTGCCTTCACTGGTTGGGGAGGCTCATCCTCCTGAAGAGCCCCTGGGCCAGGTGGCAGCAGCACCACTGGGGGCCCTTTCCCAACTCCACCTGTCCTGCGAAACGATGGCAATGACGTGAGAAGAGGGATGAAGGGGGGTTTGCTTCTCACTAAAGCATTTGTTTCCTTCCAAAAGCTTCTGTGCTTTTGTCCCTGGAGGTGCTTGTCTGGGAGCTTCCCTCCATTTCTGCTGTGGGTGGTGGCTCAGGCCACATCCAGGCCCCCCAGGAGGGTGGGCAGCCCCTGAAATTCATCCTGGAGTGATCCCAGAGAAGGAAGTGGTTTGGCATTCCCCGAGGGGCTGGGGAACATGGTGGGGTTGAGCAGGCATGGGGGTTGCGCTTGTCTTCATCCCTAGGCAGGAGAGGGGTTAGGCAGTGCTCACTCACCTTCCCAGGAGCTCCTGCTTTCCCCTTCATCCACCCTTCCATCCCTCTCCATCCATCCCTTCATCCATCCATCCATCCCTCCCTCCATCTCTCTTTCTCTCCTTTCCTCCATCCCTCCACCCTTCCATCACTCCATCCCTCTGCCTCCTTCATCCCCACAGCAGCATCGGGAAAGGTTGGCGGAGTGGGGCTATTTTTGGGACCGTCTCCTTGGAAACGGCTGCCACCACCGTCTGTGGTGGCTTTTCCATAGGTGCTAAAATATTCCATGCTTCTTATTAAAGAAGGTGCCAGTGGAGACGGGTGGGGGTGGTGAGTGTGAGCCACCCCGCTCCTGGGGCCGGCGGGCTTGGGGTGGCCAGTGCATGGCACCCCGGGGGCACAAGGACAGTGAGGGGCTCATGGCATCCTCCATGCAATGTCCCCATGTCCCTCCCGATGGCCCTGGCTGTGCCAGTTGCCTCTTGGCCATGCCGGGGTGCTGCACTGTTCATAAAATGCAGCTGTTCATCCTCTTGCTGCCCAGTTGGAGGGAAACACAGCGAGGTCTCCGGGTGAGCCAGCGATGAGGAGCAAAAGGCAGAGAGAGTGAAACCCACTCTGAAGCTGAGGCAGCTGCAGGGTTGTGCAGGTTCCTGGCGGCTTCGCCCACCCGGGGAAGGAGCAAGATGTCTCAGCAGCATCTTCATCCCTTTACTGCATGGAGGGGAAAGGCCTCTTGTGATGCCAGAGGGTTTTTCCACAGGGCACCTATGCAGCTCCCAGCTCTGGGAAGCAGCCCCACCAGCCCTGGGGATGGGGCTTTTGGGAAAGCAAGTCCCCCCTGACCCTGAGCAAGGTCTCTGTAGGGACAGCTGCAGAGAGGATGGAGGCAGCGGGCTGGCCCCACTCCATCGGGTGCTGCTGCTCCCCAGGACCTCCCATTTGAGCATCGGGGAGCAGCCGTGGTCAGGCCGGGGCGAG